CGACAATGCTCTCTACACCTCGCCGGCAGAAATAGAAGATGTCAGACATATCAAATTCAGGCTCTGCACCTCCACGCCTCATGTCCTGGATCTCCTGTTCGAGGGACAGTGGCTCTTTAGCAATGATCCCTGGGGGGAAAAAAAGAGCAGGGTTATGATGGTGGTGAAGATATGATGTTGGTGGTAATGACTTTTTAGTGTTTTACCATTGCTGTAGGGTTTGTAGAGATGCTGATTCTTCTCCTTGGCTCCTCGCTCCATTCTTAAGGTCGCCCACTGAAAGCAGAATGAGAATTAGTCCCACAAATTAAGTAAATCGCAAACTGTAATAGTTCAGCACAGTATCCTGGTGTGCACAGTAGTATCGCATTAAAAAGCCTAAAAACAGTAATAATATATTTCCAACTGTGGTATTTCCACAATTTAAAGAAGCAAAAATGTACTGAATCATTTCATCATGTTCTGGTGATGGATGATCTGTTACATTATGGAATCACATTACATGAGTCACGACATCTTAATTGAATCACTTAATCGTCCTTTTGTTACACCATGTTACATTTATTTTGTATCCCCAATGGCAGGCTGGACTCCAGACCCCACGAGACCTCATACAGCTGTCATGAGGATGGAGAAACAAACAACATTCAAGCGGTAAACAGCCTTTGGGGAGCCAATCCCACAGACTCACAGCCAGCCGCCCAAAACACCACTGGGGAGGAGAACACAACGGCTGATCCATGTGTCCTCGCTGGGTCCTGGAGTTCAGCCAGAACGCCTGAAAACCACAACCACTGACAAGTTCAACAGACTTTTGAACCAGTTCTTTTCAATGATTTGGTCAAAATGTTTCACAAAACATCTGTCAATTACTAACAACGAAACCTTTAAAACCTATTTGAAACAAGCAATAAACAACATTTAACCAAATATTGACTTAAAATACAGTTTCTAGGAGCACTTGACCTAAAAGAATCAGTTCAGATTGAAATGAACAGGCTAAAAGAACCCGTCTGTCTTAAACCTGCTGCATCACACTGAACTAAATACAGGGATTCTGCATAGGTTTTAAAATCTAATTTAAGACATACGACCTTTTTTAAGATTTAAAAAAAAATTGTTATTGTTGCCCATAAAGAACAAATTTATACAATCTCAAAATAAAGCATGAATACCAGATTTTACTACTACTAATACTTCCATACATACAAATTAGAGGTTGATCAATACTGGATTTTGCTGATAGGAAAATCATGTGTTTAAAGAAAAAGTAATAAACAGATTTTTTTTGCTAATACTAGTCTATATACTTAATGTGTTAAATGAAGTGCTTCGTTTTTCCTTCCTGCGAAAGGGCCGGCCCACAACAAAGCTACAAGAGTTAAGGTTGTATTAAATGCCAGATATAGTGTGTAACCAAACTCCTAATAATATCCAGAAAAAAGATTTTATGCATTTTTTATGAATATTTTTGAACATTTTATGATCTGATTCTTTTGAGTCAAGTGCTCAAAGAAAGTGCATTTTAATTAAATACTGAGTGAATTTTTTTTAATGCAGGTTTCAAATGAGTTTTACAGATTGTTAGTGACCACTGAAAAGAAGAGAATCACAGAATCACTGAAAAGAAGAGGTTTACTTTTGTTATACCATTTCAGATATTTAAGATTTTATGACCTTAAATTTGCTCAAAATAAATTTAAGACGTTTTAAGACTAGTTAAAGACCCACAAGAACCCTGTAAATAGTTTCTATGTTTTGCCTTGTTTATCTATACCTGCACATGTATGTACACGTGTACACACAACATCTGATGTTGCTGTTACTGCATCTGAATTTTCCCTTAGGGATCATTAATGTGGATTAGCCAAGCAAGGACAGCAGCTGAGCACCGAGTGTGGAAAGATGTCCATGCGCTGTGTGAAAGTAAACAGTGACTCTTGCAGGCACTGATGATGCTGTGACTCAAGAGAGATGCGGAAGCGAAGGTCAGGCTAGGGAAAGAGTGAACAGTCAAGCTGCTTGTCAGACTAAATCTCGCTACCCTGTTCAGGGTCACCAGACAGCAAAGTACGGGGAAGTTAGTCACTGGAAAAAAGCCATCTGGAGTTTCTTAGGGAGTCTGGAGAGGGTCGGACAGAGTGACTATATTAGTCCAGATGGATGAGAGGAGAGTGGCAGCATAGGAAACCATCAGAATCTATTTTAGGTCACACACAGAGCTCTTACTGGCATGCATTTACAATAAGGAACATTTAGGTACTTCAGGATTTGATTTTAATTTAGAAAAACACATTGTGATTTCAAAATTATTCTTGAAGCATCTCAATTACAGAGCATGGATGCAATTTTTTTTAGCATTAAATCATGCATTAGACCTAGTGATTGGCGTCACGCTATCTGAAGTAAGTGAAATCTTTGATACTTGCTGTCAGTTCCAAAAAGAGAATCCTAAAGCATCAAAAACAGGCCACTGTTTCTCCATTTCTGGGTGTGGAAACATGCAATAGGGCTTAAGCAAAGTAAAAAAAAAAAAAAAAAAAACTATATTATTCCAATATTCCAAGTAGGGCTGGGCGATACGGCAAAAAATTTTTTATCTCAATTTTTTTTTGTTTTAGAACGTTTGACCGATTTTCGATTTTTAACATGATTCAAGTTTTTTTTTTTTATTAACCCTCTAGTTAAACACATTTCTATCTCAAGTGCACCACACATGAAGTAAATGTTAAACAAATCACTTCTTTGCAAAAAAAGATCCATGAACTACAACTACGTCTTGTACAAACTTGTATTATACATATTATATGTTCAGAAATAATACAAGGAAAATGCTTTAAAAAAAAAACTCAAAAGTCAAGGTAATTCAAATTCAAAATGACTGAAGGTACAACACCAGTAGGCTATTATTAACTATAAATGTTCTGTAAAATCAATGAACCGCAGCTTTCAGCCTGATGTCACCATGATGCAAACATGAAATATCATATATACAGTAGTAGTTCTTTACAGGTTTTTATTCTATTACACCTCTTTTCCATTGTTTTTTCAATGTAAACATGGACTGTTGTTTGACTGTTGCGCTCGCGTCTCTTGCAGCATCTCATGCATGAAACGGCATTCTAAAAACGCGGTGCTCAAATTAAAAGTTCAATCCCCATATTCCTGCATTTTTTCCTATTCCACTGCCCAAGTCACATCTTTGTCAACACAAAAGCGCCTTCTACATATGGTCCTTCACAGAGCGCATCACACGTGAGCGGTTAATCACGTGCGCCGACATGCAGTTGGATCATTCTTTTCTCTTTACTTAACGTAAGGTAATATTTCTATTCAAAATTGTGATTTCTCGATTTATAAAAAATAAAATCGTGGCAAAACATTAAATTCGAATTAATCGATAAAATCGGAAAAATCGCCAAGTCCTCCTAATTCCAATATTCCAATTAAAAATGTAGAATTACTTAAGTGAATTCCTAAATGAAGATATATTGATGCAAAACATCTCAAAAAGCATCAGAATCTATCTCAGAATGCTCTTGTGTTCAGTATACACTACCTTTCAAAAGTTTGGGATCAGTACGATTTTTTTTAACGCTTGTGAAAGTGTCTAGTGCTCCCAAAGGCTGCATGGATTTGATGAAAAATACAGTAAAAACAGTCATATTGTGAATTATTTTTTACAATTTTCTACTTTAATATTTTTATACATTTTCTGTTATACAAAGTTGAATTTTCAGCAGCATTACTCCAGTCTTCAGTGCCACATAATCCTTTAGCAATATTTTTATTATGCTGAAAAGAACAGCATTTATTTGAAAATCTTTACTGTTAACCAATTTAATGCATATTTACTTAAAAGTATTCATTTCTTTTAAATTAAAATAAATCACACTGACTGACCCCAGATTTTTTTAAATGTAGTGTACCTGACCCATCAATGAGAGGTAGATTAACATTTATTGACTTTTTTAGACTTCCATCTTCACAAATTCAAACAAAGCGCTGCATGTTGATTATATGAAGCAAAAAGATTTTTCATCTCATGTGCTTAATTAAACAGACTAACATCCACTGGAGGAAACACGTTTCTAAAACTGGCACTCATGGTATTCACAATCTCACCCATAAATTCACACCCCTACAAACCACTCTGAAACGACCCAAACTGCCAGAGTCCTGCAACAATGCATGTTGTCCATAAAGTTTTGAAGATGAAAGAATATGTGACAGCACAGGATAAAGTGAGGCAAAGCCAAACGACAGCCAGACCCTCCAGACTCACTAATTCAGTCAATCGTGAATCTGTGTTCTTTTTTGAGCCTATGTGAAGGGAAAGATTGCTGACTGCAACTGAACTAAGTAGTAAAAACACAGAGCAAAAGACTCCCTGAATGACCTTCCAACTTATATTACAAGACCACTGCACCACAGACAGACCTCCTCGGATATTCTTGTTGAGTAATGAAATTACTGTGAAATGACAGACATACTCAACATCAACTCACTCACCTCAAAAAGCTTGATGAGGGACTTCATATACAGTCTGCGGATCCCAAAGGACACACCGAAGATTGCAGGTACGATGATGAACACCAGAAGAAGGGTGAACCACACGGTGAAGGAGATGCCCAAGAGCATACAGATCAGGCTGTCGAAGGGGAAGAGGTAGGACTCCATCTTGACCACAATGTGGAGTCCGGACGATTCAAAGGACACAAAATGACCTAAACACAGACTGCTGGACTCCTCTGATATGCTTCAATTTCTGAAGCCTACGCTGAAACACAGCCTTCATGGGCATGTAGGGGAAAATGATCATTTATGCCTGAAACAATGGACGAATATCCATCGAATTAACACTATAGACATCTCAGCGGGACACATCAAGGTTAAAAAAACCCTGAATAAGACTGTGCATGAACATCCAATCCTTCCTGCTTTTACAGTCTCTTGGGAGGAATACTGTGCTTCAGAGGTCTATGTGAAACGGCCTCAAATCAGTCCACTGCCATTTCTGTCATATCTAGAAAAACAGGAAAGAAAAACACAGAAATATGTATATGAAGATTTGAAACAAGCTCAAAATAAACTGCTTAAATATAATATTTAGGCATTATTTGCGAAATAAATGATACATGCCCTTTTAGATCACTTATTTAAATCAGAATGATATTCTAAATAATGAAATGTGTTGATAGGCACTATTAAAAAGACAGTAATGGACAATTCAAAAGCTACATTTCTAAATATAACACTCTAAACATATTCTTCATCTTAATTTCTGAGATGCATTTAGATTTCTATCTAAAATGCATCATAAATTGATGAAAATTGTGGTTGTATGAAACAGATGCAAATGACTGGATGCTAAAGCGCTAATCGCCAACTACTCTTTTAATCACGTAATTAACTCGCCAAACGTCTTTAAATGTATGAAACCCGTTGTTTACACTGACCTTTTCCTGGAAGATGGCGTTTAAATGCTGATTTGTCTTCTCAATAAAACAGTAATTTGCCATTTGAGCATATTGAGACGCTGCTGTTGTTGTTGTTTAAAATAATATATATATATATATATATATATATATATATATATATTCCATTCTGTTACTAACAATCCCTTAAATTTTGAGTTTAATGCAAATACATACTATACAACAAAGGGACGTTCAACTCTCACATCAGCAAGAATAACAGTGCCAGCTATTTTTGTCCTTGCCGTGTTCATGCTCTTTTTGAGCATGGTTAATCTGAGAGGTGAAATAATCCTGTGGTTAAGAGATAATCTGGTTGACAGCTCTACTACTGTCACTTTACCACCTTCACGAGGATGAGATTCAACAGCAGCTAAACTGTGTGATACAGCGGCTCACAGCAAGAGGGACCAAAATCAATAATAGGGATCATTTGTCTCAGTCCTTTTTTTTTCATATTCTGTATTTTGCATTGCATTTTTTCCGATAAATCCACTTATGTTATTTAAAATTTCTTACATAAAGTAATTTTCCACCTTCTCTGTTGTTTCAATAAATGTTCTGGTTAGACTGAAGAGTTTGCGCTGTGAACACTAGAGTACGTCTTTGTATTTTGTCCTCCAAAAGAGCAAGGAAAATCCATTTTCCCTCATGAAATGTACCCTTTAAGTACTTTTCAAAAGGTTGATTGCTACTTTAATAACTTTGAGAACAAAAAAAAAATTACATTTGAGATTAAACCCTGGAATTATTGCTTTCCATAATTAAATTTGACTGCAGATTCCAAAATATGGAACACGGAGGGAACGTGAATGTAATATTTTTTGGATTATTGTGGACAGATCATTGCGATCGTTTTCTCCCATGCCGCATAAACCGATTCACTACACCTAGAACAGTAATAAAGACACTGCGGCAGTGAAATTAGCATTACTAACTAGCAAAATCAACACAAGGTGGCTCACCTTCAAAGTCCACGTGCCCGTCTCCGTTTAAATCGATGTCCCGCAGAATGTCCTCCAGATCTCTGTGACCCACCTGAGGGAATAAGAATCAATAAAGCGATGAAAGGAGAATTGAATGAGGGCTTTAAACGCTTTTTAGCAAAGTAAATAACAGCACCTGCTGGCCCAGCAGTTTCTTCATGGCCTCTCTTAGTTCTGCTGTACTGATCTGACCGTCTCCGTTGGTGTCGAACTGAGAGAAAGGGAACAAAAGAAGAGTGATAAGAGGTTTAAATGTATTCAAGCATTTTCCTGCTCTTCCTGACAATTTTGAGCAATTTTACTATGTTTTACAAAGAAAGCGTGAAGTGGAGTGAAGTGAAATGTGCATTTGAGCTGAGAACAACTGTTCTGTGTCTAATGTTATTTCTTCGTGCATATTTACAGCTTATTTTTTGCCGTTTTATTTATGTGCTTTTTTCGTTCACCTGAAACCTCTCATTCTAGAGCTGCATTGTTGATTGAAATAAAATCAAAATTGCAATATGGCTTCAATTTGGTAGTGCAATTATCAAATCCCAAAGATTGTGTGTTAAATAAATCTATAACTAAATATATGCGCTGCATGTTTTATTATTATAGTAATTTTACAGTTGTAATGTAAAATAAAATTGTTATATTATTTTTAATTTTACTGTTTTTCTTGTTTTATTATTATTTTTAATTATTTAGCAAGAAAACTAATACCATTATTATTATTATATAGCCATATTGATATATTTTGGACAAATTGTGCAGCCCTCCAAACTAGCACAGAAAACCTGGAATTTTTAAAAAATTATCCCAAAAAATTGCACCTTACCTTTTAGAAAGCGTCGCTATTAATTGCAATAAAATATAAATTGTGATATGGCTTAGTGCAATTATCAAATTACAAAGACTGTGATTTAATAAATATATGTGTGTTTTATTAGTATTGTAATTTTACAGTTGTGATGTAAAATCTAAATTATGGTGATATTATTTTTCTTAAATACTCAGTTTTTACTTTACAGTAAATTATTACAATTGTAAAAAAATTTCTTTTGTGTTTAGTAGTTATGATAATAACTATTATTATTATTATTATTATTATATAGGCATATTGATATATAATCACAAAATTTTGGACAAATTGTACAGCCCTATAAACAAGCATAGCAAACCTGGATTTTTTTTACATTTCATTTTAAATTGCAAGAAAAGGATTAAAGGGATCATATGATGCTATTTTAAAGATCATTATTTTGTGTATTTGGTGTAACAGAATATGTTGATATGCTTTAATGTTCAAAAAACACATTATTTTTAAAATACTGTACATTATTGTAGGTCCTCTATGCCCCGCCTCTCTCAAACACTTAGTTTTCAACAAAGCCCCCTCCTTTGACAAGTGCAGTCTGCTCTGATTTGCCAGCTGACCCAGTGCATTGTGATTGGCTGAACACCACAAGCACGCGTCGGAAATGTAATGCCCCTTACCATAATCGCGAGCGTCAAGACAGTTAATAATGTCGTTAGTTTTACCATTGGTTCAAGCCCGAAAGGGCAACAGAGTCGCGTGACAGACACAGTGATGATGCAGTACACAAGCCGCGGTTAAGACAGCTGACGTGATATGACTTCTGACAGGCTGTTCACTCTCCTGTGATGTGACCCTGTTCCCCTCACACACACACACACACGACGCGTTACTCTGTGCTGCGCAAAACTCCGCAACTGAACAGTCAATAGCAAATACTTAAACTAATAACAAAACATACTTACAGTCGCTGATTCAGAAGCGCCAGATTGTCATAGCAAAGTCGGAATTGACCCTTTTTTTTAGAAATAGCCTTTGTGCACAGCAAGCCTTGTACTCTTCTAGGTTAAAAAAACTGTCGTCCATAAAATGCGTTGAACAAATTCGAACATCTGAGTTGTGCTGTTCTGTTGTAAATAAATCTTATTGAAAATTAAAAATTCCTAATTGCATCTACTTCCGGAAGGCCAAATAAAGTTATTTTGCTTTCGCACTGAAACACAGCGTCTCCCTGACATGACTGCATCAACACTACTGCTGTTCCTGAAACCACGCCTTCTTTCTTTGCCTGCTCATTTGGGCGGCATTATGCTAATATTTCCACACAGTGATGTATATATGTGGGGGCGTGTTAGAACGAGCCAAACTTTTATAAAGAATATCTCTTTGGATTTGAGACTTTAGTCTTTGCAACTTTACAGATCTTCTTTATGCACCAAGAGCTTGTAACACTCCAAAGAGAATGGAAAACTTGAAATCGCATCATATGACCCCTTTAACAAAAAACAATTAGTTTTTTTCCCAAATCATGCAGCCCTACCTCACCTCTTTGAAAGCATCTCTCAATTCCTTTACTCCGATCATATCTGCCGTCTCAGCCAGAAGTTTGGGGCCCATCAACTCCACAAAGTCCTCAAAGTCCACATGTCCTCCCACTATAAGACATAGGACACAAGCTGTTACAAAACTGTTACAAAAAAGTGAGCTTCCTGAGCTTTCGCAAAGATTCTTTATTGACCTCTTTGGTTCCATGATGAACCTTAAACATCCATGTAAACTTTCCACTGCACAAATGTTTCTCCTTTTAGGAACTGATTAATGAAAGGTTCTTTGGGGAACCCAAAATGGTTCTTCTATGGCAGTGATGGGCAAACTTGGCCCTTCCAGGCCACTTTCCTGCAGAGATTTGATCCAACCCTGATAAAACTCACCTGCTTGTAGCCTTCTAGTAGTCTTGAAGACAATGATTAGCTGGTTCAGGTGTGTTTGATTAGGGTTGGAGCTAAACTCTGAAGGAAAGTGGCCTGGAAGGACCAAGTTTGCCCACCCCTGTTCTATGGCATCACTTGTGGAACCTTTATTTTTAAGAGTTTATGTAAGCAGCACCAAACAGAGCCATATACATTTCTAAATAAATGTTGAACAAAACATGTTGATTTGTAGCGTACAGTTCATGTTGATCTGCTGACTCAGTTCGATGAGCTCCATCTCAGTAGGCATGTATCCCATGGTTCTCATGCAGTTGCCCAGGTCTTTGCAGCCAATGAAGCCATCTTTGTCTTTATCAAACTCTTTGAAGGCTTCTCGTAGCTCTGCAAAGACAGAAAGCAGGTCAGGAAGAAAAAAAGGACAGTTGAGTGCGAATCAGGGATTGTGAAAAGCGAATATTTTATAGTACAATTATGTTTCCCTCATGCAAAATCAAACAATTTTGAAGACAATTACAAAGTACTTACAAAGCACAACAATGCATCTCTGAACGACCAACTAAACACTTGTAACTAAATACTTAATTGCAAACCTTTTCTATTCACAATGAAATAAAAGCTCTTCAAATTCAAATGGAACAACTGACACAGAGTGTGCTGGGAAATTTCATAGTGAGAATTTGCACACATTGAAATGTCAGAAATTACATGTGATCAAAACTCTAAAGCATTCTGCAGACTTCAGTTTAGTTTTATATCAGAAACCCTAAATACTGCATGTTTATTATGATATTTTAAAATGTATTCCTGTGATGCGCAGCTGAATTTTCAGCATCATTACTCCAGTCTTCAGTGTCACATGATCCTTCAGAAATCCTTCTAATATGCTGATTTGCTGCTTAAGAAACGTTTCTGATTACTGTCAATGTTGAAAACAGTTGTGGTGCTTAATATTTTTGAGGAAACCGTGATACTTTAGCAATGAGGTAGAACTTACCATCCAGTTCCTCTGGTCTCAGCTCTCTGTTCTGCAACAAAATAAACAAAGTAATCACCGACAATCCACACTAATTTGTGCAGTTTTGTTCCATTAATGACAAATGTCAGCTGGTGTTCTCCTCCTACTCTAAAGAATACAGTCATTTAATTTTATGCACTATTTCCTGCTAGAAAGAAACTCATTACAGCATTAGGATCACAATGGCACGTGTAAACTAATACACCCAACCTTTTCAGGGTCTCTAAAGGAATTAATTATTTTTTCATTTAAAAAATTTAATTTTAATCAAATTTTTTAAATTCGATCTTCCCATTTGGATTAAGTCATTTGGAACTGCTTAAGAAACGTTTCTGATTACTGTCAATGTTGAAAACAGTTGTGGTGCTTAATATTTTTGAGGAAACCGTGATACTTTAGCAATGAGGTAGAACTTACCATCCAGTTCCTCTGGTCTCAGCTCTCTGTTCTGCAACAAAATAAACAAAGTAATCACCGACAATCCACACTAATTTGTGCAGTTTTGTTCCATTAATGACAAATGTCAGCTGGTGTTCTCCTCCTACTCTAAAGAATACAGTCATTTAATTTTATGCACTATTTCCTGCTAGAAAGAAACTCATTACAGCATTAGGATCACAATGGCACGTGTAAACTAATACACCCAACCTTTTCAGGGTTTTTTCCTCTGTCTCTAAAGGAATTAATTATTTTTTCATTTAAAAAATTTAATTTTAATCAAATTTTTTAAATTCGATCTTCCCATTTGGATTAAGTCATTTGGAATGGCACATATAAACTCAGGACTGATCTCTCATAATCAGGTCAAGCTGTTTTCTTTGATCCCAGCATTCCCTGCTCACACAACCTCTCAAACACAAGTGCAAGCAGGGCTCACCTCCAAACACTCTCTGAGCTCCTGCAGAAGAACTCAATCACGTGAGCCTAACCCAAGTCCCCTGCAGAGACTAATAAAGGCAGATCCCTGCAGTTCGTACATAAACCCAAGCATGCAGCACTGCGTCTTTATGACCATCTGCAAAATGTCTGCATTTGAGAAGAACAGCCTTGAAGGTGTATCAGTGCTTCAGTATATATACTGTGTGTGTATATATATATATATATATATATATATATATATATAAAACTGGTTGTGCTGTATTTTTCATTCACTAAAAACAGTGGTCACTCTGTATATTTTTGATTCACTAAAAAGAACCGGCTCTTAAGAGTCACTTGTTCTGGAATGAGACTACACTGGTCACTCTGTATGTTTTTGATTCACTAAACAGAACTGGGTCATAAGAATCACTTGGTCAGCAATCAGACTACATTGGTCGCGCTATGTGTTTTTGATTCATTAAAAAGGACTGGTTCATAAGAGTCATTTGATCAGGAATCAGACTACATTGGTCGTGCTGTATGTTTTTGATTGACTAAAAACAACCAGCTCATAACAGTCACTGTTTTGTGAATCAGACTACACTGGTCATGCTGTATGTTTTTTGATTCACTAAAAAGAACCATTTCATTTGTTTCATTTTTTTATGAATCAGACTACAATGGTAATGTTGTACGTATTGTATGTTTGTTTATACCTGCATCAAGACAAATCAATAGAGAGATTTCTTGTCATTCAATGCAGACTATGTGATATTGCATCACATTCACAGCTCAGGTAAAAATTATTTATTTTGCTGCAGCACTGAAGATTCAACAGCAGGGAAGCGCTGTTGCTGAAATGCAGTGCAAGATTTATTAGGTCCTATATTTCTAATAATTTTAAACCATTTTTTGCTTTCATTAGTCCATTTTAAATTGTCCTGTGGAGTGACAAATATATAAAATTTAAGTATAAGTCTCCCATGTAATCTCTCAGTGAGCTCATAAAAGCTGCTTGCATAAAGAATTACACAAGAATTGTAATAATACTGTTTAAAATAGATAGCACAGCATGTCAAAACACAAGAAAAGAAGAAGTGAAGTGAAGAAGAAGTCACGTGAGGCCAAGTATGGTGTCCCATGCTTGGAATTTGCACTCTGCATTTAACCCATCCAAGTGCACACACACAGCAGTGAGTAGTGAACACACACCCAGAGCAGTAGGCAGCCATTTTTGCTGAGGTGCCCAGGGAGCAGTTGGGGGTTCGGTGCCTTGCTTAAGGGTCTCATCTCACTCATGGTATTGAGGATGGAAGAGAGCAAGTACATTCACTCCCCCCACCTACAATCCCTGCCAGTACTGAGACTCAAACCCATGACCTTTGGGTTACAAGTCCAACTCACTAACTATTATGCCACGACTGCAATGTCAAATACGGTAATATTTTTTTAATAAACTGTATATAGAAACTTTATACCAATTTTCATACAAATTTCAATTTAAATCAATAATAAAAGTATTGTTTTTTTTATTTGTTTGAAAATGTAGTCAGCCAGTCAATACAGCAAAATAAACTCTTTCAGAATAATACAAGACTTTATTTATTGATGATAACTGTACCTCCTGCATAATGTAATATTCAATACATATAGTCTGTTGCTCTGAATTCTGACATTTCCACTTACAAGATACTGTATGTGAGAACTTGTGTTTGCATTAGCATATGTGTGTGCAGATGTGCATGTCCGGACTTACGTACAGCCTGCCGGCTCTCAGCGAAGCCCTTGCGGAGGAAGATGCAGGCAGGCCCGAGCACATTGTGCATGTATGTTGAGTTCTGAGCCAAGGCCGCGAGGGCCTCTCCAGATGTCACCCCTTCATCACATGACTGCACTGCTTTGTAGCTGCGCTTCCGGTCCTGAGTGCGGCCGTCATTTCCCAGCAGTCCCAAACAAGTAAGTGAAGAGGGAACGTGAGGTACAGACACAATTAGAAACTACACAGACGTCTGAAGGACACACTGGATGGACGGGTCAGTCAGTCAATTCAGTCAGCCGTCAGGTCAATCGATTGGTTCGTTCTGTTACGTACTTCTATACCAGACAGTGAGAAAACAAAGCTGAGCTCTGCCTTCAGACTTTGTGCTTAATGTAATTTACCCAAGTACAAATTGTTCCTGGATCAGCATTCTTCCGTTCAGGTCCTCCTGGGAAGGTCCTATTTACGAGTGATTTAGTTGGAATAAAATTGATTCTCTTGACAATTTCATGTTTCACGTTCTCTCTTTTTCACTTCCTGACTAACACAGGAAGGTTTATTTAGCACTAATGCAACATAAAGAAGAAAGAGGAAGCGCAGTAGGTGTGTAATCAGTGTTTGATGTTTTTTAATGGTCCGTCCAAATCGTGTCGGAAAGATCATCTTTATGAGTTCTGAGTTGATGGTGAAATGTAGTTTGGTCACACAAGATTGTCTCCTCATAAACCTGCTAAATGGGTACTTTCTGGCAAGCTTTATTGCTATATTTCATCTCTAGTGCACAAAATGTGTAAAAAACGAAATTAGGCCACAACATTCAAATTGTATGACATGAACGTAGTGGCACCTAAAGAGTTAATAATAAACGTTTGAACAAATAAAATGCATTAATGAGTCAAAGTTCCTATCTTAAAGTGTGTAAAAATGCAATAAATTCTAATCGCAAGCATCAGACAACTGAACAATATATATTTGGAAGCCAGAGATATTGGGTCACAATATCCCACATCCAAGTTTGCATGAAATGTACCATTAGGGCGATGGTTGTTTGACAGGAATATTGTTCCAAGACCAACAAGGGCTGTTCAGCCAGGAACATGTCCTACTTGGGTAAATCACATCGAGCCATACTTTGCCCTCTATTCTTTCTTCCCTCTCAGCAACTGACAGTACCTTTAAGATCAGATATCATTCAAACTGAATAATTCATCCACTTTTATACTCGCGGCGCACTGCCGCAATACTATGCCATTTGATTGCTGCCATGAAAACAAATGATCACGCTGCGGTTTTAAAAGCAAATCCAAGTGGTTCTCGGCTTGTTCTCTCAAATGAAACTCACTATAGCATTTTGATCATTGAAGAGTGAAGATGTGGGCTAACCAACATCATTATATGAGAGTAGATCCTTAAATAACCTAAAAGGTTAGTATGTTTTGAGAACGTAAAACTGCTCATGTTTAGCAGAGGGCTAATCAGGATAAGAATGAAACCAGTCAGCCAGCACATTATAATGGCCAATTAGCAGACAGGCAGAGGAGGTGAAGAGTGTGCGGAATATCTCTCATAAACACATAAAGAGCATCTCCCCAATTAAACGCAGACCCATGGGTCTAATAATTAAAGAGAAAGCCGACGTCATCTCACAATAGAGCACTTATTGAGAATCAGCTTCTGAGATGTTCTGAAACCATAAACATCTAAACTGACCCTAATGTACATTCCTGGTCTTGTCGTGTGCAATTCAGTGTCGCACATTATTCAAATGAAAAAAATTCCTTTTGCTCAATCCCAGTTTGCATACTATCCATCCTAAACAGTTTGAATTAGAAGTAGTTTGTCCCAAATTGTATTATATTGAAATGAGTATTCCAAAGGTACCGAATGGTTTACTTTTGCCGGTGAAAATTTTAAGTGCAGATCCATCCATGAAGTGCAGATCCATGACTAATTTTGCCCATAATCCATTGCGCTTTGGAGGAAGATACAGTTCAGAACTACAAACACAAATGAAAAGTGTTCCCAAAAAAATTATGAACATGGTGGATTTACAGTAGAGAGGTAGAGAGGTTTAGATAAAGGAGTTTGAGTGAATTAATAAACAGCATCTAATCTGATGAAAAATAATTATTTCATCGGCAACAACATTGTGAACTTTCATAAAGATGTTTGGTCATTAATTTACAAATGCATCATGCATAAACATGAGGAAAGTTCTCCGAAACCCACAACTGGCAGATCAATGTGCCACTTCTTTTCTCTCCTATATAATAGAAAAAATTGTTGAGTAGTACATTATTGTTGTTAACTAAAACTAAACTGTTGACTAATTGTTAACTAAAAATATACATATAATATTAAAATGAAAACTAAATATATAAAAATTTAAAAATAAATTAAAGCAATAATAGTATACAAATAATACTAAAAGGCTTTTAGTAACAGGATGCATGATGCAACAGAGCGGTCTGTTAATTTTATGGTAGTATGTCTAAAACTTGCCTCTCTTCTGCTACACACTCAAAAAATAAATTTTTCACAAAATAAGAGTACATATTTTATTGCATATATAGGACACATTGGGATGCAGCATTTGAAACGACTTTCCTTTCAGATGATGTCACAAATCCCTTATTTATTCAACTACTCCCCTCCAGCCATCTGACTCGCTCACTTTTTACAATCCAATCAGTTTCTGAAAAACAAAAGTCCTACATTTTTCTTCTTGAATATCCTGTTTTACTTGCAAATACAGATTACTTAAGTAAGACCTTAAGTAAGGTTTTTACATTGACATCAAATTGATTTTATTGACTTAAAGTATCATA